TACATTTATAATGGGAATACTTTTTTCCCACTGAGAAGTGGAAAAATTCATGTACTCCTTTTCGAACACTAAATAAATGTGTGTGTGTGTGTGTATATATATATTTCACACTAGAGACCCGGTGCACGAAATTTGTGCATGGAGGGGGGTTCCCTCAGCCCAGCCTGCATCCACTTCAATCGGGGACCCCTTGGGGGATGTCCGACCACGGTGGGACTGCTGGCTCCTAACCACTCACCTGCCTGCCTGCCTGATCACCCCTAACCTCTCTGCCTGCCTGCCTGATTGTCCCTAACTGCCTCTGCCTGCCTGCCTGGTCACCCCTAACCTCTCTGCCTGATCACCCCTAACTGCCCTCCCCTGCCAGCTTGATCAAGACCCCAACTGCCCTCCCCTGCCAGCCTGGTTGCCCCCAACTGCTCTTCCCTGCCGAACTGATCGCCCCTAACTGCCTCTGCCTGCCTGATCACCCCTAACTGCCCTCCTCTGCCAGCCAATTTGGTTCTGATTGGTCAGTTTCTAATTTGGTTCTGATTGGTCAGTTTCTATGCCAGTCAGCGTCTCTGGGCCTATCAATGGGGCCTGATCAGAAAGGTGGGGCTGATTAGCAGCCCCTGTGGAGGCCTGGAAAGAAATGGAGGCTCAGCTGTTGGCCAGGCTGGGAGAGAAAGAGAGGCAAGTTCTGATCAATGGCTGCCACAGAGGCTATGGATCAGACCCTGCCTCTCTCTCTCTGCAGGCCTCTCTCTGCGCCTGATCCAAAGCCCCCTAGGCCGTCAGTGCTGGGTCCGGGTGCCCAAAGTGGCCCAGTCAGTGCTGGGTCACCACAGCCACCAAGCACTGACTTCCAGTCTGGTCAGCCTTCCGTCCTTGTGACCCTAACTCTTTATTATATAGATATGTGTGTGTGTGTCTATGTGTGTGTAGTTCACATATATACATGTAATATATACACATACATATTTTACATATATACACTATTATATAAATGGCGTGTATATATAATATAAAAATATACAGATAGTACCTTGGGAGAGACTATAAGACAAGATGCCATAACTATAGGGTTCATATTCTTGGAATACTCTTCCCTACATGAATCTCAAGGGATCTTTAAAAGGTTAATTTCTAAAACATGCCCACTGATCACTTTTTACTTTCCCTATTTTAGAGATTTGTGACCAATGAGAGAGTAAAGAAAAATATAAGCATATAAATAAAAGAGTAAGGGTGGTACAAAGTCCATTTCCTCTTCTTGAAAAAAGCATCCCAGTTTTTTCCCTAGTCTTCATGGGACTAGGAAGCCAATGAGTGAGCCTGTGAACCAAGCTAGGTCATTCAAAGCAGTCTCTTCTTGGAATTAGAATTTTGAGCAGAGTGTCACCAGAATAGAAAATAGCTGGATTTTATTCATCTGGAAAAGTTTTATTCAAGCCACTATTTGGGCATTTCTAATGCCACGGAATCCCTACCTCACAAAGGGCTCATTATATTTTCAACTAGCTTTTACTGTTGAAAGGTTCATCATTAATGTTAAACCTAATCTTGTAACTTCCACCCTTTGGTTGGTCTAAAATCTGTCACGTATGGCTATACAACATTATCTAATTCATCTTCCATGACAGCATATTAATTATTTAAAGATACTATCATAATCTCCCTTGTCTTCTCCTTGCCAAGCATTCCACTTTATTCAAATGTTTCTTACAGATGTGGTTTCTGGACCCTTTATCATATGGATTCAGCTCCTTAGGACACCACCTGATTTTCAATATCCTTTTTAAGAAAAGGAGCCTAAAGCATGTGGCCAGTGTCAAATATGCAGATACCTTTTCCTTTCTTAACCTATAACCTGGGCTTCTGTTAATCATTCTAAAGCTGCTTGAGTTGTTTTGAAATTCATATTACATATACAGTCTCCCACTCTGTTTGCCATAAATTGAACTCTTCTCATATCTTTTTTTTCCTGTATGAATCCTAAATCAGATCTCCTTAGTTCTTAAATTTGCAATTAATCTTTTCAACCCTCATTCAAAATGCTACATTCATTTATGTAAGAAACAAAATGCTCTGCACAAACCAGGTGCCTGACAAATGTCTGTACCTCCCTTTCACATGCATCTCTTATCACGGAAGTAATGTTATGTTTACCATGTGATTCTGTGAGAGTGGGACCGGTGCGTTATATTCTCATCACTTAGCAAAGTGACTAACATACACTAGTTGCTCAAGAACACCTGTTCTCTCCATAATTCTTTGACTGCATTGCCATACTGCTGAAAACAAGTCGATTTAGAGAAATAGTTTGGTTGCATCATCAGTCAATTTATTCAAAACAGTTAACCTAGTGACTTGATTGTGACAATGTTTGATTGAAATAATCTCCCTAATGAAGGTCAGTACCATTAAAAACCCAAAGTTCATGGCAGATTTCCACCATATGTCCCATTTAACCTAAGAATGTAACCTTTGTGCCAAGCAACTAACAATGCCATAGCCTGGCAAGCATTATTTTTACTGCGTAAAGTGGCTGTTCACATGCTTAGTCTCCACAATATTGCCTTGTAATTAGTAGGTTCACAATTCTGATGGCCACTGCTACCACATGTAAGCTTCAAAGGAGAAATACTTTATTTTCTTAGTCTTATCGCTCGTGACAATTTTGATTTGAGCATCTATAATTTATAAGGCATATAATCCACTCCCATTTTGTTAAGTAAAGGAAAATTTAAAGGCATCTCCAGAAAAAAATAACTTTAAGAGAATAAATGTAGCAAAAATAAACCTTAGATACTATTGGTAGAAACAAGCTTCTCACCAACCTAAAATTTCTAATTAAAATTGGGCTGTCACAATTTTATATCATACACCAACTTGAACCACATTATTTCATAAATTAAACTTGAAATATCAAATGATTTTAGAATTGGGGAAGCTTTTGATCTTTTTTTAAATTCTCATACTTATGGAAGAATAAGCAGACAACCCTCCTATTCTTTAATAACATAACGTCCGGTGCTTCTTGGAAACAGGGCATAATAGAGAGAGGGACTGTTTATGAGCCAGAGAAACATGTGCTACTGTCAACCTGAATAAGAACCATCAGATATTTCTGGTGATGAAAACCTGTCAGTGAGGTGACCCAGGCCACATTCCATTCCTTTTATTTTCAGAGATGAGATGGATTTGAAAACCATAACCTGGCTTCTTGATGCAAGGACTCGCCACATGAGATAATCTCCAGCACATTACTATTGGCAAGCAGATCTTTCACCCTTTTGTCTCCATGCATTACAGAAAATGTTAAATCAGTTTGGTGTCCATATAAGCTTTTGATCCTAGGAACAGCCTAGGGTATCATCATTATCTTCCTGAGGACCATGTATAGGCCTTCAGTAGGTAGTACTAATTTAATTTCTCTACTAAAGGAAAAAGTAGCTGATTTTCTAGATCAATATTTGATTGAATATGTTTGAAATGTTAGCAGATAAAGGCCCCTTTTCTGGTCCAAAGACTTTTTGAACCACAGAGGTATGGCGTTCTAGCTCCCCTGGGACTTGAGTGGAAGGAGGTCTCAAAGATCTGTAAGAATCCTTCCTGCCTTTCCTTGTGTTCTTCCAGCAAGACTCTCTAAAGGTTGAGATGAGAAAAAGATAAGATCAAGAACTGGAATGTCTTTATATCCATTTTAAAAAAATCTTTCCTGGGGCTTCTCTTAACTAAAAATAATCGTTTATAACACTAGTTTACAAAAACCTCTTATAATAGGATGGTAGAAAGAAAGCCCATCTGATCAGCTTTAAGGAGCTGATTTTGACAAATAAATTGTGACCTCAGATTCTATCACTCTTACCACTAATTAAACAAGAGTACTCAGGTATCATCAAAAGGGAAATGAATAGAAATGAAAATGCTGAGGTGTTAGACACAGATTAGAACTTGAGTTGTCTGGTTGGATTGATAAATAGAGTTTTTCACAAACTATACTGGTTTTGTAAAGACATTCACAAAGGAAAAAATGAAGATGGGGCGGAAATTCCATCCATACAATATTTATCTGTACAAATGAAAAATCCGGTTCAGAAGTATATGTCACTATAATTCTGATTTTTCCAAGTTAAAGTTTTATATAAATTAGCAACTCTTCCCCAAATATAACAGCCTACTCATGACTGAAAAGTATTAGTCAGAGTAAACAATGCTAGCAATAACTGTTTACTAAATCTGCATATGAAATTCAAAGAAAGATTATTAAAAAGAATATTTTTTCTTAAATTTGTCCTTTGCTGCAGTCATGAACATGCATTCCCTAACTACAAAGAGGAAAGGATACTCAAATTCCTTCAACTTTATTTTCTATCAGTGAACTTTTGCTTGACTGATGGAGTAATTTACTTTCCCCTATCTACTGATTTGAACACACAAGTTCATTTTATAAAGGAGAATGACCACTATATGCAAAGTCAACTGCAACTCCTTCAAAGTGCAGATTCCAGAAATGCAATGGACATATTTTCCACAGATCAAGCCCAATTAATTCTCTTATTTGAGATGAAAGAATTACAGTCATTTAGCTTTTTTCTTTTTCCATGACAATTCCTCATAGTTTCAATCTCTATTAGTAAAATCATCTAGTCAAGTAGTAATATTTGCAATATAAATTGAACAACTATTCAGAGCAAATCGACTATAAGAAATATCGTATCATATTTCTTTACTTAAAGTGGGAAATAATTAGCTTGTGAAAAGGGACTTCGTTTTCTATGCTTTATTTTATAACACCTTGCTCATTGCTAGCATGGAATAGGTGTGCAATAAATACTGTCAATTATGTAGATAAATTTAATTTCCAAGTTCTGCTTTTAAGAAAGAGTTATAATTGGAATGAAATAAACCAAATTTCTATGTGAATTACACAATATTAATGTCATAAGCGATTGTAATAAAATATTTCTTCATAGTGCTTACACGTCAATTGAACATAACATATAGGCCACTGCTATAGGCATAGGGATCTTTAATGCAAACTCAGATTGCCCTGAATCTTTGATTTAGAATCCTTGCTTCAGGGTCTTCTTGAAACCAAACCTCTCTCGTCAACTAGGCAGCTCTGATTGTTAGTCCTTGAGAGAGTTCCCATTTTTTTTCACGGCCTAAAAAGAAAAGAAAAATGCAGTGAGACAGGTTGTTATATGTGAAAATATAGAGTGACTCCAGCAGGAGATGTAAAGTATTTCATGTACTTTTCCTTAATGTTATTGTTAATAAAAAAGTGACTCTACATTTCCCCAAAACTTTATGTTTTATGAAGTTCGATTTACATATCTCTTATAACAGAAGTCCTTTCATGTGCGAAGACTTAAAATTTTAAAGTTCCTGATAATGTTCTTAAATGAAATGATGGGCACTAGGATAATATATTCCACCAGTACATGCAAAACCTAATTTGAAACTTCTGTCAAATATGTGTATTGATATGGATCGAGGAAATGTTTTCCAAAGAACCTGAGTAGCTATTACATAGATTTTCAAGTTTATCAGCTTACTAATCATTTTTGTTTGTCTACTTTTGCCAATGACTTTAAGACAGCTGAATTTTACAAATGAAATTAACGTATGTCTGGAGGCACTGTGATGCACTTAGTATAGTTACCATTTGTTTTGATTATGTGATTAGCATGTTCTTACTTACTCATACCATAAGAAATAGGATATGGTTAATTACATGGCTTTTAATGACAATGAAATAATGCACTAAAATTGCCATTTTTTTCCTTTAGCTGCTACAGTTACCTATATAACACGCTTTTTGATGATGAGGATTGGATGCTCTTAAAACAGAACAAAGTTGAACCACAGTGGATTGTATGAATTAACTCCTAACATTTGTAGTAAAAAAATAAATACAACACACACTGAAAATTTTGAAAAAACTGTGATAAATAAAGTGTTCTATATTTTTACATATGAAATATTCTGAAGAATTTTAAATAGTTTGAAACCAGTCATCCTTTTTTTGATATTCATATTCTGAATACACTAGTCTTTAAACTAGCTTAGATAATAATCCTGAACACACACAAATGCTATATGACTCAATATTCTGTGTACAAGTCACACACACACACACACACACACACACACACACACATGCTATGACTCCATATTATATGTACAAGTTAAGGTCTGAATCTGAGGGATGGTAATTCCCCACTTACTAAAATCAGAAATTCCCCGAAACACAGGGAATAAGTATATGGTTCAGTGACAGCAAAAAAGAAAAACATGGGGCCCACGTAGCCAGATTGGCTCAGATTGTGCCAGGGGGGTTAAGTCCTGTGTACTGGGTTTCATTCATTTATCAAAAAACAACAACACTGCAAACAGAGTCCCATCATGTAGACAAAACGCAGTTCCACTAATGCAGGACACAGCCATGTTTCTGGAATCAGACAAAGGGGGTTGGTCATCTGAGAACTGTCTACCCTCAACTTGGGGATGAGGCTTCTGGCTACGATCAAGGCAGGATGGCACCATCTCCATCACCAGATGGCGACTCAGGGCAGGCTTTCAGGCCAGATGTATCAGGGTTACTAACGTTAGGTGATAGAAGTAAAGAGAGAGATAATACCTACTAATATTGTCTCAGGAAATCTACCAGAAATGTGTAACACTTTACACTTTATGCCAGGACACTAACACTGCTACCCAGAGCATAATGCTGAATGAGTTCTGCAGAAGCTACATGCTGGGGGATGTTTTAGATGATCTTTATAAATAGAAGCTATGAAGCTGCCCATGGAGGCAGGGGATATGAATTATGTAGTCCTTGGTAGTTTTCTGGGTCCATGTTATAGACTGATCATGGTATATTGAACAGAGCATGAGGTAGAGGCCCTGCCTTGCAGACTTTGCTGTTGCCAATAACTGCATTGCTTTGGGAAAGCCAAAAACCAGTGTAAGTCTCCATTTCCTCATTTATGAAATGAAAAGAGAAATTATTCAGGTGATCTTTAAGATCACAAAAAATTCCAAGGTTTATATATTTCTGGTAGATTTCATGAGACAATGAGTATTACCTCTATTTTTTTTCTTGCCCCACCTGATTTCAGTAGCCCTGTTACTATTCATTAACGTATATAAGCTGATTTTCCTAAACCACATGTCTTTTAAAGGTTAGCGACTCTTCCACCATTTCCACAACATCCTTAAGGAAGTTGATCATATCAAACAGTAACTCTAAAAGAGTAGTAACTAAGCACCCAGCAGTGATGTTGGATATGCAATAGTCTCCAAAGGGATAAAAGTAAGCCTGGCAAAATCTTTGTTGTGTACCTGCCTCCAATACATTTGCGAAGGAGCCTTAATGAAAAATGAGAGTGATGTTCCCATCACACATTTTTGGATTACCGTGCAGCAACATCAATTGGAAACCTAATGAAACAGAGACCACCTACAGAGGAGGGATATTGTGTTCCTCTGTCTGCCTGCATCTAATTTCCCAGCTAAGTGTATGGAACAAGCTGCCTGTTTGTTTGAGCCCCTGGTACTGACTGACCATACATTTAACATTGATAATTGGCATTGCCAATTTCCACTCTTTCCCGTGTTGAATTATGTCCTAGCACCTCACAATTATGTGATGATGGCAACAGAAAATAGGCACAGTACCATCTCAAAATTCCAGCACTGTATCCTCTCTCAATGGTGAAATGTCGGAATGAGATTAGGTCCCAAATAAATTAACTGGTCATTCTCTGTTTAACATTTTTTTTTCAGCAACTAAGGGAACATGCTATGTGTTCATCAAATAGAACTTCTCCCAAGCAGGGGAATAACAATAAGAAACCTAGTAGGTGAGTTCCCACAAAGCATATCAGAGAGGACATAAAGAGAAAAGCTGATGATGTTCCAAATGTAAGTGTTCTATTCTTTGTTTTTGCACCTGTTCAAACTGGCATCTGGTATTAGGCTTCGAACTAGGGAAATGTTACTACTTTCTGTTGAGCTGGCTGGGAAAAACAAAAGGAAGAGAATATCGTGTAAAATATTAGTTCCTCCTTGTGTGTTATTTCAAAATGAAGTTACTGCATTTTCCTTGTCAGGCTCCCTACCTGTGCTTATCATTGACTGCAGTTTCTTCTTCTTCTTTTTTTAAAATTTGACTTCTAGAAGCCATCTGGCATTCAGTCTAATTCCCACATTACAGTTCTCCATAAGTCAGGCTGCTGACTGCCTGTCAAGTTATAGGATTAAGTTTAAGGTTTTCTTAATTCATCGTGAGGTTCTTCATGGATTTGATCTATTATGTCTTCCTGAGCTTGTCCAGTTGTAGATTTTTGCATGTGATTGATGTTTAGCAGGTGTTAGTGTGCTAGAGTTTTCTAAATATCAACTTCACAATTCAAGGGAGGTTTGGGAAGACACTAGAGCTCAAAATTGTATTGTTCCACAACTGGCAAATGGCCTCCCTGCTGAAATTCAATGTTGCAGAGCTATTTATTAAGTTAAAAAGATGGATATTTCAATATATGGAAAAAGTAGAGGCTCAAATTCCATCATCAACTCACCAGTTGTGCCTGTGTATTCTGTGGCTCTCAGGACACAATATATCATTTAACAGGTAGGACAACTAGGTGAGTTTAAAAATACAGATTTATCCTTTGTTGTGAATTACCATGGAATTGAATGTTATTTTGCAATGTCCTACTTTTAAGTTGATTCCTTTGTGTGATTTTTGTTTTCCTGGTGTAAAGCTTAAGTGCCTGATGAAAACCTAGGTATTGTTAAGGAGAGGTGAAAAAGGGTCTCCTTAAAAGAGTGTACCTAATAAAGCATTTAAAAATGCATTATTTTACATTCGGAAGATGCATAATATTGAAGAAAACATGAATGAAGGAATAATGTTCATTAATTATTAAATATCTACATAAGTGACAGCTGTTAGAAATTTTTTATTTTTTATGTTAAATGCACTGTAATAAGATTTCTAAATTGGAATATGGTGACTTCCATACTTCTCATGACCATGGGCCATTTGTCTTATCTTTGTGTAAATGACACAAAACTTAATGTTTATTAAACCCACAAAATCTTTAGTTTCACATTGGTCTTTAAGCCACTCTTTGTTTTATAATTTTACCTCACCTCAATTTCAACTACAGGAAGGAAATTGTTACACACACATTATAGATGAATTATCCAAAATACAGGGAGATTAAGGTACTGTGCCTGTGGTCATGCTGAGAGTTAATCAAAATTAAAATGCACAGCTCTGAGTTCCCAGGCCACCTCTCAGCCCCAGGAGCAATGCCACTTTGCACTATAAATTGTCCCTATAATTTTAAAAATTTATAATGTACTCATCAATTTGCATATCTGAGTATGAATTACAAACATTAAAATTGGCTACAACTCCTCATCACCCAATTACTAACAAGAAGCACCTAAAAGGTCAAAGTCATGAAAGACCAAAGTAAATAGATAGGTGTGCACCTTTTGCTAAACACCTTGCATACAATTCAACATGTATTCATTATTTTTTGACACTAGAAGATAGTTCAAACCTTGGTTTATTCATAGTAATTGACTTTGAATTATTAGGAGACATTATAATAACATTTCAAAAATTATTTTAATATGATTCAGTCATGATGATATCAACTTTAGATTCAAAGTGTTAGGGGAAGGTATTTATATACATACAAGGCAATAATAAGATAAAATGTAGTTTTGAATTAGAAATTGGTACATTATTTATTTATAATTTTTTTCAAATTGCACACTTATTTTTAAAGTCAGTAATATATAGAAAGGGTCATATAGCATTATAACAATTATTAAGCAATGACTAAATACATTCTAGTTTTGGAATTTATTTCTATGAACATTTCTTTTATAATAAGAAGTTTTCTATATTTTTTTTACTTTTAAACTGTTGTTCTCATATTTTGTCCTATTATGGTTCTATTGTTTGGTTTCTAGCAGTCAGTCTCAATGGAACAATTAACCATATAGATTGATAAGAATACTAACTCAAGAAAATTGTCAAAAGAACAAGGAAAATCCAGGATCTTTTTAAAAAGGCTGGTGGTCTCATGAAAACTGTAATTAAAGTATGTGTGATTCTGCTTCTGAGTCTGTTACACAAATCCACCAGTCTCAAATGAAAGAAAATTTGGGCCCCTACAGTGGATTACAATGGGAAAGCACTTTTATTCTCTAGTCAGTGATAATAAAGCATAAATCCTCAGGGAGGGACTTTTCCACTATATTATTTGTACCACCTTCCTTTTAAATGCTGCTAAGGTTGAAATTAGTGTTGTCCCTCAAAGTACATAAGATTAATCATCAGTATTTGAACACAGTTTAAGGGCTAATTACATAAAAATTGATATTAAAAGAATACCACCAGATTGATTGAGTTTTACAGTTCGTATTTAGTTTTAAAATTACATGAATTGAAAGGCAGTGGTAAGAAACAATAAAAATCCATTCAAAGCTGCTAAAGCAAATTAAGGTTTACTAGTCCTTTGAAAGACAAATGAGTCAAGTGCTGCAATGCAGAGAAAGCGGTAAAAATGACTGAAATTAACTATAGAATCCAAATGTCAACTGTAACTGCAAACTTATTCTCTAGAGCATTTGAGATCTTACTTCCCAGCAATTGTCATTGGTTTTGGCTCAAATAAACTCTTATAACAATTCTCTACAGGTTTAGATGTTTCCTATCAACACTCTGAAAGGTGGAGAGAAGAAAGCAGGCTGGCTAGTGATGTGGAGACCAAAGGAACGACACAGTGATGAGTTCCCTGGGTTTTATTTATGACTAGTATATTTCAGACTGATGCTGAAGAAATGCCAGAAAACACCAATGGGTGTAGACCATAAAGCCTAGCAAAAGCCTGTTCTGTCTTACCAACAGAAGAGAAAAAATAGCCTCACTGGACAGAAATTTTTAGACAATGACTGCCCTGCTCCAGCAAACACCACAGGAAAACTGTAAGCTCCTAATTCCTCACCCCTCCAGAAAAGGCCAAGTGGGGAGCCTCAACTTCTACCTTTGCCTAGTTGTCAAAGGCACCCAATCCACCCTCCTGAAATCAACAGGGCAAGATGAGTAAAAAGTATACTTATATGAAGAACACACTAAGTAAAATAAAATTAGCTTTATTAAACACACACACAAAAATAAAGCTTTAAATTTAAATTGCACTTTCAATAAAGTTGTTGCATTCCCCCCCAAAAAAATAAATAAATAAAGCTTGAGACAACAAAAAATTAAATCAATGACATAGAGGCTAAACTTGAGAAATGTTCCCAGACATATAAATGACTACATAAAGGGAGAAAATATGAATTAGAATCTAAAGAGTTTTAAACATCATAGCAAATAGATCAGAAACAATAAGCAAAGATAGAACAGAAAAAAAAATTTCAAGATCTAAGAGAACCAAAACTCGAGTTGACAAGGCTAAACATAACGCTGGTAAAAATTAGGAACAGAGATTAATCCCTACACACAGCTTTGTAAAACCTTAAATTTCTTGATTGATTCTGGAACTTGTAAACCCCCAGCACAAACATGCACACATGTGTGTACATGGATGCCCATGTGTATTTGCTTTGGGAAATAATTAAAATTGGATTTCTTTTGCAGAAACAATTATCAGAGCACCGTTGGGGGAGTTTCTATAGAACTTTTAGAGGAAAAGGCAATATTCCAATAATTTTATAATCAATTATGTTATTATTCATGTGCAATGGCAACTAGAAGACATTCTCAGATACCAAAAGCCACAGAAAATATGTCAGCCAGGTATAATTTCTGAAAGGTTACTAAAAGATTCTTTTCAACTGGAAAATGATTGTATCAGATAGAAACGAGAAATAAGATCCAAAATCAGAGAAAAGTATAACCATACATGGAGAAAAGTAATTGGGAAATGGTTTATATTATCACAATGGTTAAAAAGTAGAATTTTAAAAAATCTGAAAAATGAAACTTTTTTTTAAATGATGGTACCCGTGACTCCAGATTAAATTAGCAAAAACTAGTGAAAAGAAAGAGTTTTAGAGTAGAATGCCAAAACATGAAGTTTCTTGTTTTCCCTAAAAAAGTCAGCATTCATTATTTTAATTAAGCTAATAAAACAAATATAAATTTAGCCCTAGCTGGTTTGGCTCAGTAGATAGAGTGTCGACTTGTGGACTGAAGAGTCCCAAGTTTGATTCCAGTCAAGGGCACATGCCTGGGTTTCAGGCTTGGTCCCCCGTGGGGGACGTGCAGGATGCAGCTGATCAATGACTCTTTCTCATCATTGATGTTTCTATCTCTCTATCCCTCTCCTTTCCTCTCTGAAATCAATAAAAATGTATTTAAAAAATAAAATAAATATAAGTTTAGCTTTAAGGGAAATAGTATATTTTAAAACAAGATGTTTCCTTTACAGATCATTAAAGTATACAATCCTATAGAATAAAACCCTAACATGCAAATTGACTGAATGGCAGAACGACCGGTCGCTATGATGCGCACTGACCACCAGGGGACAGACGCTCAATGCAGGAACTGCTCCCTGGTGGTCAGTGCACTCCCACAGGGGGAGTGCTGCTCAGTCAGAAGCCAGGCTCACAGCTGGCGAGCACAGTGGGTGGCGGCAGCCTCTCCTGCTTCCTCGGCAGCGCTAAGGACCCCTTGGGGGATGAACGCCTGCCGGGTTAGGCCCACTCCCTGGGAACGGGCCTAATGCAACAGGCAGACATCCTTTGAGGGGTCCTGGATTGCAAGAGGCTGCAAGCCGGGCTGAGGTTCTCCGCCCCCCCAAGTGCGTGAATGTCATACACCGGGCTTCTAGTAGAATACAGAATACAGTACACATCACAAAGGAGCCTTTGCCAATAAACAGCAATTGAAAAATAAACAGTAAGGAAACAAAGAAATTGAAAAAACTACTAAGAATTATATAAGTTTGGTTAACACCAGCTGCTATAAAAGTTTCACAAATTGTAGCGCTTTTACACAAAAGTCTGGTTTTGCTTACAAAAGATGTACTGTGCACACTGATGGAGGAGGAGGTGAGGCTTGCTGATTCAGGTTATTCAGGGAATTAGGTGAGAGGGCTCTGCCATCTATAGTTTTAAATGTTACCATTGTACTGACATCCATCCAGAACAGTGGGAGAAGAGTGAGGGTAGAGAGGACACACTCACTTTGCTCACACTTGTGGCACATAGATTCAGCCCCTTGGGAGAGGAGCACACATCTTCAGTGAACAGCCAGCCATCTCCACCACAGCCATAGACGTAAATGGTTACATTTAGCTAAAAATCAAAGATTCCCAGGTTGGATTAAAAAAATTGTCTGATTATAAAATATATGGTTTAAACAAAACAATACAGATAGGTCGAACAAAAGTAAAAGGGACTTACATAAAACAAATTCAAGGAAATAGAAATGAAGGTGGCAGTGTTAATTTCAAAGTAGGATTTACAACAATCACTTAAAAGAGGAAATATTATTTTATTCCATTTTCCCTATAAAAGAGAAATAAATGACCCCCTTTCAGATGAGGGTGTAGTTGGGCCCTCTTTTCCTGACAGGATTCTTTCTGCTTCTTGGCTGAGCAAGCACAGGCTACTCCTCTCTGGTATCTTGTGAATACTTCGTTGGTGCCATCGCACACTCCTGAAGCTACTCAAACTGTCCTCATATTTTCTCTCACTACGTGTACCCACATCTCATCTCAGGCTATTTAGTCTACTGTACCCACCCCCCATTTCCCATCATGCCTGGCTTCCTCTTTGCCTCGCTGGCACTGAGCCCCATTTTGTTCTAGGAGCCTTGGCATCTACCAGAGCTTTTGGCAATGTCATTCTTTCCTTGTCAGGTGATCTTCCTGGTCTTCAGCTGCTGATTTCTTTTTTTCTGTGGGGCCTGTGTCCCCACAGTTGGATTTTGGCCTACCCAAGGCCGGTCATCACATGGGAACTGAGATTAAATGCCGAATAACAGAGCCAGAATGAAAAAATACATGAGGACAAAACTGTGACAGAACCAAAAAGAAATGAATAGAAGCACCATTATGCTTAGATATTTTAACACAGTGCTATCACTCTGGGACAGGGCAACTTGGCTAAAATAAATAAGATTTTAAAGAATAAAAATAAAAATTAATAGCTTAGAAATCTAATAGATTGAAAATTATACCACCCACACGTAATATAATGTAGAATTCTTTGGATCCCCTGGAATAACACAGAGGCAAGAGTATTTTTTTAAATTCTTAGGGAAAAAAGGTGTAATTTTAATTACTGCACATGAAAACAATTCTATACTAATTAAAACAGTAAAGTTCTAGTGTAAAAAGAGATAGCTAGGTCAATGGAACAGGAACAAAGACTCTAAATAGAGTATATCATGTATAACAAATTAACATATCATAAGGGCTTTACAATTCAGTGGGGAAGAAACGGCTTACCAATGGCTAGTTTGGGATAACTGGTTGGCAATTTAGGAATAGGATCGATCGATTTTGACTTGCTTTTATGCCATATACCAGTGTTTTTCTATTTACTTCTCAAAAACTGAGTACATTCTCTCAAATATAAGACCAGGGATAAAGGAAAACAGGAGAGAGAGAGATGGGACTTAAATTTCCATGTAAGATTTTTGTTTGAAGAAAGTTTGGTTTTTTGGCTTTTTTTTTTACCTAAAGAAATTAAAATGTTTGAAATTTTTCCATACATCAAACTACATTTAGAGGAATAAAATATTATTGAAAATAAAATACCATCTAAGGGAGCACATAATTCACTTGTAGTAAAAATGTGAAATAAGTAGAATTCTCCTAAAGTAGATGCTATAGAAAACATAGAGAAAACTGAGAAATGAATAGATAACTTAAAACTTTACATTAAAATAAACCAAAGTAAAAAGTGATAAGGATATATTTGTGTCATATGTAAATATGTCAATTTAATGTGTTAATTCCTTACTTTTATATAAATGAATTATAAATTCTATGATTTCAATTTTAGAAAAAAGCAAATTATGTGGGTACCTATGTCCAAAAGGGAAACATAAATATCAAAACAATAAAGGGGATGTGGATGAGGAATTCCAACCAATTTTGGCAAAAGGGAAGGTGAGTTGAGGTGTGGAGGTGACTGGTGACAGAGGGCAGAGCGGGCGGGGCCTGCAATGTGTTGAGTGGGTTGATCTGCCCTCTGAGCCCCACAGTGGAGCTCTAAAGCATCAGGAAGTGAGACATGGGGCTGCAAATAGGTTCAAAGGCACACAGAATTTACTCACTGCTGCGTCCACCCCATCTCGCTCCCTCCTTCTTACACATGCATACGCACATACATGCAGAAGCCCCAGAAGTTAAGAATTTATTGCCCAACTTAAAAAAAGAAAACAAAATCAGTTTCCTATTCCAAAGAAAACAAGCCTCTTCTTTGGGGAGAATACAGGAGTGTGATACAGCTGCCCCATAGCAAAGCCTTTTTCTTTGCTTTAGGACCTCTCAGCATGGTGCTGGCTTCCACCCCACTCACCCCAAACCAAGCATGCCAGTGGATAAAGTCTGCCATCTATATGAATCACAAAGTCATTTATTTTTCTTATTACATTCTTAAGCACAAATAAATAAAATAGATCATCACTTGGCATTGAGCAAAGCCTGGAATATGAAAGAGAATGATAACGAAGTATAAACAGAAATGACCATCAAAGAATACAGACTGCAGGCACAGAAAATAAATTAAGAAAAATAATCTATGATGTCTCATGAATATTTTATAAAGCACTGTATTTATGAAGTATAAACAGAATGCTATGAAAAGATGAGTGTCAATTAGAAAATAAGAAAAACTAGTGGAAATTAAAATATAATAGCTAAACACAGAAATAACACTCAAACTAGGGGAAAATGAACAGCAGCACAAGTATGCATATTATGCAAATTAATGCAAAAATGCCCTGCTTTGTTTCACTATTAAATTAACAAAAGCAACAGAAAACTTAATAAAAATACTTAATGCTGATGTTGAGAAAGGAAAACAAAGTTGGAGCTATCACAATATCTGATATCAAACTATACTACAAGGCCATTGTAATCAAAACAGCCTGGTATTGGCATAAGTACAAGCAAATAGATCAATGGAACAGAACAGAGAGCACAGAAATAAACCCATGCCTTTATGGTCAATTAATATTTGACAAAGGAGGGAAGAGTATACAATGGAGTCAAGACAGTTTCTTCAAAAAATGGTGTTGGGAAAATTGGACAAGTATATGCAAAAAAATAAAATAATGAAACTAGACCACCAACTTATACCATACACAAGAATAAACTCAAAATGAATAAAAGACTAAAATGTAAGTTGCAAAACCATACAAATTCTAGAAGAAAACATAGGTGTTGTAAATGTTTCCCTCCACGTCCCGCGTGGTTCAGGGTTCAGGATCTGGAAGAGGAGCTGCACACAAATGAAAGAGAAAAGACAAGAGATAATTTGGGAATATTGGGGGGCCAGGCGAGTAAGTCCAACTCAAGAGGAAGGATTTCCACCGGTGCTCAGGCCCCACCAACCTTTTATAGCCAGAGGTAAACAAGACAGTGGTCACCACAGTTACACAGCTCTTGTGAGTTTCACCTGTTTTGACCATAGTTACACTTCCTGCACTTCCCTCAGCCCATTAGCCTCCCAGATAAGATTCAGGGAGTGTTATAAGGTCAAGCCTAGTTATGCTAAGAGGACTGAGCCCTCTAAGCTGGGACTTGTTTGTGACTTTGCCAGCAGGTCAGTCCGAGGCTCAACCCTATATCGGTTCCCCACACATAGGCAGTAAAGTCTCAGACATCTCACGTAGCAATATTTTTCCTGATATATCTCCTAGGGTCTCAAACCTCATACTTTAATTTTTTGGTGAAGTAGGAGGCAAGCTCATTTAGGTAAGGAAATTGAAGAATATGGTAAGATGTTGAAATGTCACTGAACCCAAAAGGGAGCTGAGAGGGTATAATTTTAGGATTGTGGGACAGCAGTGAGGTTCCCACAATAAATGTGCAATAGTGCCAGTCAGAATGGTCCTGAGGTTTTTCTCTAGTTGTTCCCAGCATCCCAAGGGTAGCAGAGAAAGTGGTCTGTCAGTTTGGCCAGGATGAGATGTTGCCAAGTGGATGTGCTGGAGGAATAGTGGTTGAAGAGCTTGGAGAGAAAATAGTTGATGTAATGAACCATGTAGTTTAGGCTGGGGTGGAAGGGTGTTAATAAATTAGGGAAAATTTATCAGTCAAGAGATTTTTATCAAATAGAGATTAGGTACAGTAAGAGTGGGCCTTTATCTACAATTGGTTATATTACCATTATTATAAGAAAAAAAAATAATTCGTAGAGGTTTTTCCTTAAGGTCTCAAGAATCTAAAGTTGTTTGTATTACAAAAAAAAACAACAAACCCTTTTTACCCTGAAAGAAAAAACTTTTTAGAGGGGAGGGATGATTATCTATCATTTTGTTTATACTAGTGTTAGCATTTGCTAGCTCAAATCTAATAAAGCCCTCTCCATGAATGCATCATTAATAAAATCTTCAGAATGGCTTCTCTCAACATTTTCTTTTTGATTTTTCATGATTTAATTAGAAGCATCTTTTAAAAGGCTGGTTTTACTATGGTAGTATCACATCTGCATTTTCAGCAGTATGCAGTTTAATCACAATGGGTTATAAAGTGAAGCTCCCAGTACTTATTGTATTATCTAGTAGAACCCACACATTTTGCGTTTTTAGTGCCCGAGTCATCATCTTATATTTGTTCATCAACATTTTAACTGCCCCTCTTTTAAAAAATGTAATTTGATAGTTAATTTTCTAAACTTGTTATTCTTTTATTTCTCTTCAAAGTAATAACATTTCATGTCTTTGTTATTCTTCATCCTGCACCTGAACTCTGTTCTCTCACAAGTCATTTTGCTCTTTTTACCTCATTTTAAAAATATATTTTTATCGATTTCAGAGAGGAAGGTAGAGGGAGAGATAGAAACATCAATGATGAGAATCACTGATTGGTTGCTTCCTGCATGCCCCCCCACCCCCAACACACACACTGGAGACCAAGCCTATAACCTGGGCATGTGCCCTTGACTATAATCGAACCCAGGACCCTTTAATCCACTGAGCCAAACCAGCTAGGGACTTTTTACCTTATTTTTTTCAATTTTTGTATAGAGACTTGATAAACTTCTAAGTATTAAATTTCATGATCATCAGTAAAAATGAATTAGCAATTTTATGCCACATCATTGGACAGTTTTAGAA